AGATAGATAGATAGATAGATAGATAGATAGATAGAATGAATGAATGAATGAATGAATGAATGAATGAATGAATGAATGAATTGTTTATTGGCCAAGTGTGACTGGACACACAAGGAATTTGTCTTGGTGCAAATACTCTCAGTATACATAAAAGATACATTCGTCAAGAATCATAAGGTACAACATTTAATGATAGTCATAGGGTACAATAAGCAATCAAATCATACTAGGAAACAGTCAATATAAATCATAAGGATACGAGCGACAAAGTTACAGTCATACAGTCACAAGTGGGAGAGGATGGGCGATAAGGAGTGATGAGAAGATTAATAGTAATAGTGGTACAGACTTTGTAAACAGTTGGACAGTGTTGAGGGAATTATTTGTTTAGCAGAGTGATGGCTTTCGAGAAAAAGCTGTTCTTGTGTCTAGTTGTTCTGGTGTGCAGTGCTCTATAGTGTCATTTTGAGGGAAGGAGTTAAAATAGTTTATGTCCGGGATGTGTAAATATTTTCACAGCCCTCTTTTTGACTTATGCAATATACAGGTCCACGATGGAAGGCAAGTTGGTAGTAATTGCTTTTTCTGCATTCCTAATTATCCTCTGAAGTCTGTGTCTGTCCTGTTGGGTTGCAGAACCAAACCAGACAGTTGTAAAGGTGCAGATGATAGACCTGTAATTCCAGGGTCCTCCATATCATGTCTTACTACAATTGTCATTGGTGAAAATGTGACAATCCTAGACCAGGCCAGGTCCACCAAATGCCAGGGAATTGCTAGAAGCCACTCTCACTAATCAGCTATCAACAGACATGTAGACATTAACAATATCTATAAACTACGCAAAAGAGATAATCAAATAGCCAAAAAGGGAATAAAATGACTTCAACAATCAGCACCCAGATCAGCATAGATTTATTCTAAGATTAATATCAGACCAATAATCAAGTAAACAATGCCCCAATCAAGAAACTACCAAAGGAGCCAACAGCCCAACCAAAGGACAGGGCAACTAACACTGACAGGGCAAACCACTAGAATATAAACTGAGGGGAAAAAAACCACACTTCTTTCTAGCACTGATGTTACCTAGTTGGGTGATGAAATGTCTGCAAGAAAACAACCTCAGAGAGCACCAAGGACCCCTCATTTCAACCCTAAGCTGCAAATATTCTCCTTTATGGGTAGAATTGTCATCATTCCATATTTACTTATATTTATTAATTAAATGTGTCACCCACATTTTATCACCATCTTCTTTTAATGACCCCATAATCCCTTGCGGGGTGGAGTCCGGGCAGCTGAATGGAGCTGAGTGTTTACTGGCCAGATGCCCTTCCTGTCGCCAGTGCGGAGTTATATTCGGCAGATATATTCTCAACTGTGCCCAGAGAGAGAAATGTCTACCTCTACCTAGGATCGAACTCTCACCACCACCTGATTGTGAGGCGAGAGCTCCACCTTTAGGCCACCGCACCACTCCTGTCAGCCACAATTTATCAATAAAAGAAGATAAAACTCTAAAAGCACTAGTGAGGCCACACTTGGAATGTTGCATATGTTGGTCACCACAATGCCAAAAAGATGCTGAGGCCCTAGAACTGGCAAACCTATGGCACGTGTGCCACAGGTAGCACGCAGAGCCATTTGTGCGGGCACGTGAGCCCCAGCCAAACTTACCTGCACTGCGCATGTGCGCACCTCCCAGCTAATTTTTGGCGCATTTGAGGCCGTTTTCGCCCTCCCGGAGGCTCAAGGGAAGCCTCTGCAGCCTCAGGAGGCCGAAAAATGGGCCTTCCGGAAATACCGGAAGTGCCGAAATGGGCCTTTTTTTCAGCCTCCTGAGCCTGCAGAGGCTTCCTTCAAGCCTCCGGGAGGGCAAAAATGGCCTCAAACAGGCTAAAAATCAGCTGGGAGGCGCATGCATGTGCTGTGCAGGTAAGGGAGCGGGGCAGGGAGCATTGCATTATGGGTGCTGGCACACGTGCGCTTTCGGCACACCCAACAAAAAGGTTCGCCATCACTGCCCTAGAAAGTGTTCATACATGAGCACTATAATTCTAGATAATGAAGGATCTGGAGGCTAAATCATGTGGTGGATGGCTGAGGGAATTGGGTACGTGAGAAGGTTTAGGAGAGACACGATAACTGTCTTCCAGTACTTCAGGGGCTCTCACTGGAAGCTTTTAAGAAGCAATGGGTGGAAATTAATCAAGGAAAGAAGCAACCTAGAAATAAGGAGAAATTTCCTGAGGGTGAGAACAATCAATCATTGGGGCCACTCGTCTCCAGAAGTTGTGGGTGCTCCATCACTGGAGGTTTTCAAGAAGAAATTGGACAGCCATTTTTTTCTGAAAAAATGGGTCTGCTGCCTGAGCAAGGGGTTGGACTAGATGACTTCCAACCCTCTGATTTTATGTTTAAAAACAACAACCCCAACACTAAAATTGATTTAAAAATTCACAAAGATGGGAAAGGAGGAAACAAAGGATTTTATCTTAGTCCATTAACCATCATCATTAACCACCTCCAGAATGACATGCCATAATATGAACCATGCTAGAAATAAGCTTACAAAAACTGGCAGCTTTTCAAATTCCTGATTTCTGGCATTTTCAAACCAAGCATTAGATGGCAGCCTGCTACCATTTTCATTTTTCTAAGACTTGAAGGACTGGTATTTTGCAGAAGGCTAGATTTCCCTTCGAAATGTTTTTAAAAATATAAGAAATGAGGTGGGCCCGTCAGGAACAGATTTATTGCAATTAATGCAATTCGACAGACATCCTGCATTCCAGCAACTTATGGTGTTTTCTTCTCCAGTTTTGCTCCACTGGGCAACTTTTAAGATGTGTGGACTTCAACTCCCAGAATTCCACAGCCAGCCATGCTGAGCAATTAAATCCCACTGATTTATAGAATTTATTTCGCATTGAGTAATGGAACTTTTTTTTTTTTAGCAAGATAAGATGTTGTGGCTAAACTGAACTCCGCGTCTGCAGTTTTACGCAATATTTACAATATTTGATGTTATTTAATATTTACAATATTAAGATGAGGGAAATCAATGCGGCTGTTTATTCCTCTTTAAATATTCCCCAAGCTGCATGTCTCGCACAAACGAGCCCCACTGCGCAGGCGCAAAGGTTTGACTTTCTCGACGCTTGCGCAAATGCTCAGACACCCAGCACCGTTCAAAAAAAAAAAAAAAAGCGGGAGCCAAACGGTCAGTGTCTGGCGCATGCGCTGTGGCGCCTCTTCCGTCCGCCCGTGTGGGGGGGGTGGAAAGCGAGAGCGGCTGTCATGGCGGCGCGGCGAGGTTGGTGCGGAGGAAAAGGCTCGTTTCTGGCTTTGGCCTCCGGCGTGACGTTCCTGAAACTGCTCCTCATTCCGACATAGTAAGAGATCTGGATTCTTTTGTCTCTTGGCTGATTAAAAAGGCGCGCGGAGGGAGGGAGGCTAGCCGCCGCCATTGTAGATTCGGCTGTTCCAAGGGAGCTTCCCCCGCCCTCCACTACTAGTGCCCTTTTTTTTCTGTGTGTGTGTGGCTGTTCCCGGGGTTGTGCCCCTCCCTCCGTGCTCTTCTTTTGCTACCCTTCCAAGCCCCGCTGATCTCTAGTGAATACGAGCCGTGGGGGGCTGGGGATGATGGGGATTGTAGTGTAACACCTCAAGAGGGTGTCTTGGGAAACATTTTCTCGAGGTTTATGCTGGAATAGCAGTAGTCCTCGACTTACAACCACCATGGATTGAGCCCAACTTTTTTGGGTTGCTCGGTGAAACATTAGTGAATGCTGCTTTTGGGGCCACCGTTGTTAAGTGAATCACTGCAGTTGTTAAATGAATCTGGCTTCGCCACTGACTTTGCTTGCAAGAAGGTCACAAAAGGGGATCACTGAGACCGTCGTAAATACAAGTCATTGGCCAAGCGTCTGAATTTTGCTCATGTGTCCCCCGTCGTCCCCCTGGGGACACTTGAGACCGTTGTAAATATGAGTCAGCCGCCAAGCGTCTAAACTTTGATCACAGGGCTGCTGCAACGGTCGTGTGGAAAACGGTCATAAGTCACTTTTCAGTGCCATTGCAACTTCGAACGGTCACTAAACAAACTGTTGTAAGTGGAGGACTTCCCATGTTAACTATTTAGTCCTATTCTCTACAGTTAACCTGGTTAGTGAATCAATTAACCCAAGTTTGCAAATTGATCCATAGATTTAAAAAGTGGATGATCTAAGAATAGAATAGAATAGAATGAAATAGAAATAGAATAAAGAATAGAATAGAATAGAATAGAATAGAATTCTTTATTGGCTAAGTGTGTTGGACACACAAGGAATTTGTCTTGGTGCAAATGCTCTCAGTATACATAAAAGAAAAGATACATCCCGTCAAGGGTCAAGAATCATCAGGTACAACACAACACTTAATAATAATAGTCATAGGGTACAATAAGTATAGATGGTAGATTAGCCATGGTGGCGCTGTGGTTAGAATGCAGTACTGCAGGCTACTTCCGCTGACTGCTGGCTGTCGGCAGTTCGATTCTCATCAACTCATGGTTGGTGCAGCCTTCAGTCCTTCTGAGGTCGGCAAAATGAGGACTCAGATGGGTGTGAAGCCTTCTTGGAACCGCTGAAAGGATCGTGTTGTGGAGCTGTGCTTTCTGCAGGACGTTTCAGCAGTTCCAGGAAGGCTCCAGACCCATTTGCACCACTCGGGTGTCCCTGAGGACACAGACAAAGCTCCAAATGGTCTCAATGACCCTCTTTAAAAGGATGCAAATGACCAGCTGTCTGCAAGAGGCATAAATCCTTCCATTCCCCACCATACAGTCAGAGCTGAAGAAGCTTCTTGGATGAGAAGCGAGGCGTCTTCAAAAAATAATAATAATCCAGGAAGTCCAGTTGCCTTTTGAAAAAGCACCTATGGGAGAACCATGACCTGGATGACTGAGAATCTCTGTAGGTCTCTATCTGGATACTAACAGTTAACTCCTTGTAGTCATTCCACAGATTTTGAAGTGCACAGGAACTGGCTTGCCATTACTCACAGCCTACCAGCCTCTCGGTGGTACTATGAGGTGAGTGTTTTATTGTTTCATGGCCTGAAATAGCTTGGATTTGTAGAGCAGTGACTTGACTTTTCTGCTCAGAAGGCCTCAAAAGGGGGATGTCATTATCCTGGGACACTGCAACCGTCATAAATCTGAGTCAGTTGCCAAGTGTCTGAATTTTTGACCGTGGGGGTTGCTGCAGTGGTTCTAAAGGTGAAAAAAACTAAACTCACTTTTTTTCAGTGCTTTTGTATCTTCAAACAGTCACTAAAAAAACTACCTGTACAGGTAGCCCTCGACTTCCAACAACATTTGAGGCCAGGATTTCCATTGCTAAGTGAGACATTTTTTTGAGTTTTGCCCCATTTTGCCATCTTTCTTGCCACAGTAGTTAAGTGAATCGCTGCAGTTGATAAGTTAGTAACCTGGTTGTTAAGTGAATCCCTGTTGACTTCTCTTGTCAGAAGGTCACAAAAGGGGATCACGTGACCCTGGAACACAGCAACGGTTGTAAGGGTGAACCAGTTGCCAAACATCTGAATTTTGATCCCATCATCATGGGGATGCTTCAAAGGTCATAACTGCGAAAAAATGGTTGTTAAGTCCCTTTTTTCGGTGTTGTTAGTACCCTGTTTCCCCGAAAATATGACCTACCCTGAAAATAAGTCCTAGCTTGGTTTTTACATGTGTGCCCAATATAAGCCCTAATTAAGATCCCGCCCTCTCCAGAGTGGATGGGTAAAAATTCAGCTATGGGAGCGTGGAGCTGCCCTACTACTAACCTTTGGACAGTTGTAGCCCGGCCTCGCACATCCTGACACCTGCCTTTGCCTGCCCATTTCTTCTGCAGCCGGCAAGGCTGTTCAGGCTTTTCTGAAGGCCTCTGGAGCTGAGAACAAAGCTCAGGATCGATCCAGAGTTCCGTTATCGGCTGCAGAGGCCTTCAGGAAAGCCTTGCCGGCTGCAGAAGAAGAAGTTCCTGAAGGCCTCTGACAGCGAAAAGGAGGCCGGGGGTGACACACACACGTGAGGTTAGTCAGTGGATGACATCCCCCGAAAATAAGACCTGGTGCCTTTTTTGGTGGCAAAAAATATATAAGACAGGGTCTTATTTTCAGGGAAACACGGTATCTTCAAACGGTCACTAAAGAAACAGTTGTAAGTCGAGGACTACCTGTATTCTCCTCCAAAACAAGGTGTGTTAGAAGCTTTGCTCATCTGGTTTCTGAATCTACCCACAGATAGTTTAACCGGCAAGTTTTGCTTTTAAGATCTGCTTGTCCCTGGAAGCTGAACAAACCTCTCAAGCAGGCAATTGCAGCCTCTTTTGCCTGTCCTGTCAGCCTTCCTAGATTAAAAAGTGAAGGTCTCTCTCTGGGTTAGCCCAGCGAACTGATCCAGATCGTTCCCCTTTACACAGACAAGAATAGCAACAACCGACCGGTTTGCAATAATTTGGGTAAGTTCGCTCTCCCACGTTTAAACAGATTCCGGGCAATTCTTCCGATTCCTTGAATCTTGCAAAAAAAAAATGTTTTTTTTTTAAAGGGAGCTAACTTATACTGTCCTTTTAAAAGTTTGTTTTGCTTTTTTTTCCAAGCCTTTTTTTTCTTTCCTTTTTATCCTGTATTAATCTTTTATTATTGTAATCAGTAATTATAGCCAATACGATTGAGAGCCATTTTAACCTAGTGGTTAAGGCTTCAGGTTAGAAAAACAGGAGTCTGAATTCTAGTCCCAGTTTAGACGTGAAAGTGGGTTGGTGAATTCTGGTCCCGCCTTAGCCACGAAAGCCAGCTGAGTGACTTTGGACCAATCACCAGGAGACTGTGAGCTCTAGTCTCATCTTAGCCATGAAAGCCCGCTGGGTGATTTTGAGCTAATAGAATAGAATAGAATCTAGAATAGAATAGAATCTAGAATAGAATCTAGAATAGGATAGGATAGAATATAGGATAGAATATAGGATAGAATAGAATTCTTTATTGGCCAAGTGTGATTGGACACACAAGAAATTTGTCTTGGTGTAAATACTCTCAGTATAAATAAAAGAAAAGATACATTCATCAGGAGTTGAGAATCATAAGGTACAACACTTAATGATAGTCACCAGGTGACAGTTCTAGTCCTACCTTAGCCACGAAAGCCAGCTGAGTGACTTCGGGCCAATCACCAGAGACTGTGAGTTCTAGTCCCGCCTTAGGCATGAAAACCTGGCTCGCTGACTTCAGGCCAGTCACTCTCTCTCTACCCAACCCACCTCACAGGATTGTGGTGGTGGGGAAAGGAGGAAGAAGTATTCAGTGTCTTCACTGCCTTAAGTTACTTACAAAGTTATAAAGGTGAAATACAAATCTTAAAAAATGAAAATATTAAATTATTATTTAAAAAACCACAAGGAAGCACCAAGTGCTCCCCCCGAAAAGAAACGGCTTCAGACATTCAAATTATATTTTTTTTAAAACTTTAGCAGTGAGAACTATTTGAGAGCAGAACCGGTTATGACGGTTGATGGTAGAATCCCTTTCCAGCCATCTGCTGAAAATATGACATCGGGTTTTTGCACTAAGCTGGGAGATTAACTTGATGACTTAAATCATCATCTTGTTTTAATGACCCCATAATCCCCTGCGGGGTGGAGTCTGGGCATCAGAATGGAGCTGAGTATTTACTGGCCGGATGCCCTTCCTGTCGCCAATGCGGAGTTTTGTTCAGCAGATATATTCTCATTGTGCCCAGAGAGGGAAATATCTGCCTCTCCCTAGGATTGAACTCACCACCTCCTGATTGTGAGGCGAGAGCTCCACCTCTAGGCCACCGCACCAAACCTGATGACTTAAATGACCCTGCCAAACTTGGGGATTTGGTGACCTGAACAGGGTGCTAAAGCATGAAACATACAATCCTCTCATGCCTCTTCCTGTAGATTTCTGTTGCTTATTTTTTATTTTTTGTTTCTTAATTTCAGGCAACTTCTGAATGGACCTTGGATTACCCTCCCTTTTTTGCCTGGTTCGAGTGTATGCTTTCCTACGCTGCGGTGTACTTTGACAAAGAGATGTTGTCCGTACAGAACCTCAACTATGCCAGCCAAATGACCATCCTTTTCCAAAGGCTATCAGTGATCGCTACGGATACGCTCTACATCTATGCTGTGTACCAGTAAGTGGTTGTGTCTTTAGTTATCTCCTTTTTAAGAGCCGTGGTGGCACAGTGGTTAGAGCGCAGGCTACTTCTGCTGACTGCAATTTGGCAGTTCAAATCGAGTCAATCAGGGTGGACTCAGCCTTCCACCCTTTCCGACATGAGTAAAATGAGGACCCAGATTGTTGGGGGGGCAAGAGGCTGACTCTGTATATTGCTTAGAGAGGGCTAGGAAGCACTGTAAAGCAGTATATAAGTCTGTTGGGAAGGAAGGAAGGAAGGAGAGGTGTCACAGTGGTTAGAAAGCAATATTGCAGGATAACTCACTGCCCACAGCCAGGAGTTCCATCCTGACTAGCTCAAGGTTGACTCAGCCTTCCGTCCTTTCCAAGGTGGGTAAAATGAGGACCCAGATTGTTGGGGGCAAAAGGCTGACTCTATAAACCACTTAAAGAGGGGCTGTAAAGCATTATGAAGCGGTATATAAGTCTAAGTGATATTGGGAAACAAGGAAGGAAGGAGCTGTGATAGTGCAGTGGTTAGAACGTAGTATTGCAGGACAACTCTGCTCAAGTCTAGCAGTTCAATTCTCAGCAGCTCATGGTGTACTCAGCTTTCCCTCCTTCCGAGGTGGGTAAAATGAGGACCCAGATTGTTGGGGGTGACAGGCTGACACTCTGTAAACTGCTTAAGAGAGGACTGGAAAGCACTGTGAAGCAGTATATAAGTCTAAGGGTGCTATTGCTACCTTCCTTTCCTTCCTTCCTTCCTTCCTTCCTTCCTTCCTTCCTTCCTTCCTTCCTTCCTTCCTTCCTTCCTTCCTTCCTTCCTCTTTTATTCCCTTTCTCATTCTCTTTCCCAGTGGCACCGTGCTCCCTTTCTTCCTGGTTAGAATGCAGTATTGCAGGCTGACTGCCCACGGCCACGAGTTCAATCCTGACCAGCTCAAGGTTGACTTCCGAAGCGGGTAAAACGAGGACCCAGATTGTTGAGGGAAAATATGCTGACTCTGTAAACCGCTTTGCGAGGGCTGTAAAAGCACCGTGAAGCGGTATATAAGTCTTAGTGCTGTTGCTATTGGGTGCTCCTTGGGGTCCGGAGAAAAGGGAAGGAGACCACTGATTTCGATTGTCCCGGCCTTTCCAAAATACTGTACAGGTAGTCCTTGACTTACGACCACAATTGAGCCCAAAGTTTCCATTGCTAAGCAAGAGAGCTGTTAAGTGAATTTTGTCCCATTGTACGACCAGCTGTTAAGTGAATCGTTGCTGTTGTTAAAGTCAGTGACACAGTTGTGAAGTGAACCCGGCTTCCCCCGTAGATTTTGCTTGTCAGGTCGCAAAGGAGGGAATCACGTGACTCTGGGGCCCTGCAGCTGTCGTAAGTACGAGTCCGTGGCCAAGCCTCTGAATTTTGCTCCTGTGTCCATAGAGATGCTGCAAAGGTCGTAAATGTGGAAAACTGTCCTAAGTCATTTTTTTTCTTCACTGTCACAACTTTGAATGGTCCACCCAATGGATGGTTGTAAGACAAGGACTACCTGTAATTGGGGAGGTTGGAGGGAACGTAGATGTTTTTGCTTGATAAACTACTTAAGACAGTAGCTAGATAGTTTAGGAATGAGAGCTTCCCCCTTAAGGGAATGCTTCATGGGAATTGTAGTAAATACCTCATGGGAGATGTAGTTCACGTCACATGGTCACATCTGTAATCCTGATTGGTCACTGATTTGATCTCTGGTTGGGCTGGGGGAGTTTTTTCGGGCATTCTTACCTGGACCATTAAACGGGAGATTTCCTTTGCTATAACGCTGTGGGATCAAATCCTAGTGTAATTTGATTGCTTATTGTACCCTATGACTACCATTAAATATTGGACCTGATGATTCTTGACTCTTGACAAATGTATCTTCTCTTTTATGTACACTGAGACCATTTGCACCAAGACAAATTCCTTGTGTGTCCTATCACACTTGGCCAATAAAGAATTCTATTCTATTATTAGTTACATATTTATACATAATTATACATAGTTATGCTCATTCATACCATATTATTTCATCTCACCATAACCTTTCATTCATTGAGGACCTGCACGAGTCAAAAAGAGGGCTGTGGAAATATTTACAGACCCTTCACATCCTGGACATAAACTGTTTCAACTCCTATCCTCAAAACGACGCTATAGAGCACTGCACACCAGAACAACTAGACACAAGGACAGTTTTTCCCCCATGCCATCCCTCTGCTAAACAAACAATTCCCTCAACACTCTCCAACTATTTACAAAGTTTTTACTACTATCACTATTAATCTTCTCATCACTCCTTATCACCCATCCCCTCCCACTTGTGACTGTATGACTGTAACTTTGTCGCTTGTATCCTTACGATTTATATTGATTGCTTCCTAGTATGATTTGTACCCTATGACTCTTGCTAAGTGTTGTACCTTATGATTCTTGATGAATGTATCTTTTTTATGTACACTGAGAGCATTTCCTTGTGTGTCCAATCACACTTGGCCAATAAAGAATTCAATTCTCTATTCTTTGAATCTTTTCACACTATTGAGGCAAAAATTGGACGTTAGATGAATCTCAACATAACTGTGAGTTATACTTTGAGGATGCCTAATGAATCCAATACACTAACTTTGCATGGAAGCCTTTCTAGTGTTTAACTGCTAGTCCCAAGCTGTTCCAGGAGCATGGGACAAGAACACCCCATAAGATGTGATGCAAGTAAGATTTGTGTGTCTTGGCTTCTTGTTACAGATGCTGCAGTTGTGTAAACGGGAAGCGAGGCGGAAAAGACCTATTGGAGAGCCCACCGTTTGTTCTTTCAGTCCTCCTCTTGTGGAATTTTGGCCTCTTAATTGTGGATCGTATCCTTCACTCTCCATTTATCTTTCCTGAAGATACTGATCCATTAACCCAATATGAGAGTCGGGCGAAATAAATACCTTTAGATCTACCGAATCTGTTAGGGGTTTAGAGCTAGCTGGAATTGTATTTAAATTGGAAAGACCTCTTGGCTGGGAGGAATTTTTCTAAAGCAGATGGACTTCCTTATATCAACCTCAGATATTCACTTCCAATACAATGGTTTCCTGTTTGGATTGCTGCTGCTTTCCATTGCACGATTATTCCAGGTAGTGTTTAGCGCCCTTCCCCTCTTTCATCCCTCCATCTGTCTGTCTGTCTGTCTCTCTCTCTCTACAAACACACACACTCCTTGACTGACTTCTTCCTTTTCCTATTTTCCTCACACCAACTCTGTGCGGTGGGTTGAATAGAACGATAGAGGGACTGGCCCAAAGTCACCCAGCCGGGTTTCATGCCTAAGGCAGGACTAGAACTCACCATCTCCTGGTGATTGGCCCAAAATCCTCCAACCAGTTTTCATTCCTAAGATAGGACTAGAATTCACCATCTCCTGGTGATTGGCCCAAAGTCACCCAGCTGGCTTTCATACCTAAAGTGGGACTAGAACTCACCGTCTCCTGGCGATTGACCCAAAGTCACCCAGCCAGTTTTCATGCTTAAGGCGGGACTAGAACTCACCATCTCCTGACGATGGGCCCAAAATCACCCAACCAGCTTTCATGCCAAGGGAGGGACTAGAATTCACTGTCTCCTGGTAATTGGCCCAAAGTCACCCAGCCAGCTTTCATGCCTAAGTTGGGCGGCCTAGAATTTATATTATTTCTACGATAACGAACGAAGAAAGGTAATTCTAGAATCTTGAAAAGCTCCTATGTTGCTTTGTTAAACTCTACACAAGGCCCCAAGTTCCTCATTTCCTCCTCATGCTTTGATGAAGACAACGAATATTTGTTTATTCTAACTCTTTGCTCTCCTTTTCCCCGTCATCATTCCTTTCCAGAAAAGATACTTGGAGGGAGCTTTTCTCTTTGCTATCCTCCTGCATTTCAAGCACATCTACCTCTACGTAGCTCCAGCCTACGGCATCTATCTACTCCGATCTTACTGCTTTCCCCAAAATAACCCAGGTACGTTGCTGACCGTTTCATACAGGGTGTCCTTGACTTAACAACAGTTTGCTTCGTGGCCATTCAAAGATACAACCAGTGGTGGGATTCAAGGTTTTTTTTTACTGCCAGTTCTGTGGGTGTGGCATGGTTTGGTGGGCGTGGCAGGGGAAGGATACCGTAAAATTCTCCATTCCCTCCCCACTCCTGAGGGAAGGATACTTCAAAATCCCCATTCCCTCCCCCCCCCCTCACTAACCTGCTTTCCAGCTCCGTTCTCCTGTGCAGGGCAACCAAAGAAGGCCCAGCCAATCAGCTAGGACTCAATGGGAGGGGGAGAATATATGGGGGCGGGGCCAGTCAGACGTGGTATTTGCCGGTTCTCTGAATTACTCAAAATTTCCACTACCGGTTCTCCAGAACTGATCAGAACCTGCTGAATACCAGCTCTGGATACAACCCCACTGAAAAACGTGATTCCTGATCCTTTTTCGCACTTATGACCGTTGCAGCATCCCCCCTGGTTGCATGATTTCCATTCTATGGACGCTTGACAGCTGACTCACTTTTATGACATTACCAATTTAAGAACTGCCCCGATTCACTTCGTAACCGTAGCAAGGAAGGTCGTAAAATGGGGCAAGGCCCACTTCACAACTGTTTGGCTTAGCCGCAAAAAAATTTCAGCTCAGTTGTTGGTTGTAAGTCAAGGACTCCCTGTATTGCAGAATGCAAGGTCTAGTTAGAAAGGTGGTCTGATCTGCCGTGACCAGGTTTGAAATTTTATCATCATCATCATCATCATTCTAGCTCTCATTGTGTCTAGATGGATCTCTTCGGTGGCGCAGTTTCAGTTTTCTGCGTGTAATCATGCTCGGATTAATGGTCTGCCTCGTTTCTGCCGTTTCCCTGGGGCCCTTTCTGGTTTGGGTAAGGAACCCGTCTGTTTTTTCTTTTTCTTTCTGAAAGACCTTTTTATGACCTGTCCTCAAGTTACAGCTTCCTCAATAGAGGCAGTCCTCCATTTGTTCCCAGAATTACGGTCATAAATTGTGCCAGTCATCCAGCTGGCCATCAAGTGACTAACCTGATTCTGCAACTTATGTGTGTGTGTGTGTGTGTGTGTGTGTGTTTGTGTGTTTCAATCTTGGCAGCCATCAGTTCAGCTGGTTGGGGGATTCTGGGAGTCGAAGTCCACATCCCTAAAATAGGCCACGAAATGATCTCGATGAAATGAAGAGAAGATTAATAGGATTTTTTTCTCCCATTTAGGGTCAACTTCCTCAACTTTTCTCTCGCCTCTTCCCTTTCAAACGCGGCCTCTGCCACGCATACTGGGCCCCAAACGTTTGGGCGGTGTATAACTCCCTTGACAAGATGTTGTCAGTGCTTGGTAGGTATTTTAATCCTTTGGTTTCTTCTGTCTGTCCTTCCATCCAGCCATTTTATTCAACATGGACACCACCACCCGACTCCAGCCAGGTTACTTAGGCAACCGGCTTTGCCCCATCGCATCGGCCCGTCCCACTCATTCAGGAAAGTAACCCTGTGTGCTCTTGTCAGTCAAAAGAATTCCAACTGCCAAGATCTGGGATTTGGTTTGAGCAGACCCCCCCAACTCTCTACTAGCACTGATGGACATTACCTAGTTTGGTAAGGAAACGTCTGCAAAATAACCATCAAGCTCAGAGAGCACCAAGGACTCCACAGTCTCCCTTCCCCCCCCCCCCCCCCCCACACACACATCATCTTTTAACGGCCCCATAATCCCTTGCGGTGTGGAGTCTGGGCAACTGAAATGGAGCTGAGTGTTTACTGGCCGGATGCCTTTCCTGTCGCCAGTGCGGAGTTTTGTTCAGCAGATCCCTTTTCGTTGCGCCGGAAAGAGAAATATCTGCCTAGGTTCAAACTCACCGCCTCCTGATTGTGAGGGTGAGAGCTCCACCTCTAAGTCACCGCACCACACACCCACACACACCTCTCTCCTACCACTGAAAATGCCACTTAGTTGAGTAATTAAACATTTGAAAGAAAACCACCAAGCTCAGAGAGGACCAAAGACCCCATAAATCGTATTACAGATCGTTTGGACTGGGTGCCTGAGCTCATTAACTTCATTAATTATCCTCTTGGCTTTCCAGGGCTGAGGTATCAATGGCTTGACCCTGCAAAAATACCTAAGGCAGCCATGACAGGAGGGCTGGTTCAGGAATTTCAGCACAGCGTCCTCCCTTCTGTGACCCCACTGGCAACCTTATGCTGCACCGCCGTCTCAATGCTGGTGAGTATAAACCATTGTCCCACCTGTGTATTTTGCTGTCTTCTTTTCTTCTTCTTTCCTCTGGCGCAAATCTGTTGAATTTCAATACGTTCCCAACTCTACTGGTCCACAATTTCCTTAAAAATAGCACTTCTTTGACAAAACTGCCATGCAGGCAACGCTCAGGTAAAACTTTTCCTAGGCAAGAAGCAGAGTAACCATTTAAAAAAAAAAAAAAAACCTAAATGTCACTGTGCCCGATTCTTAACAGAAGCATAAACTGTTAAATTGGAAGGTCCTTTTTTCCCCGCTGTGCAGCTAATGCAGATTTGACGTGATGTTAAAAAAAAGGTGTCAGGGTGTCAACTCATAAAATATTTCTATGGTCTTTCTAGATTTGCCAACAGAAAGGGAGGGGGGAAAGGGGGTTTGAAAGAGCAGTGCGGCAGATTGGAAAGCGAAAGTGCATTCCATAAATAGTTTTTCAAAGATAAGTCACTAGGCGACCGAAGTTTCTGCCGCGCACAATTCAAGCTGGAGAGCATGATTGATGACTCTTGGCTATGGAGGTGTCTCATTGGAGAATACGAATTATGACACACCCAGTGGGGTGGGGGGAAAACCAGGGTCAAGGGTGACACTGAATGATGTGTCTCAAAGTCGGCTACACCCAGGCAGTGCCGGACATGTTAACTCCCAATAAATCCTTTTGAAGTTTTGGCTCAAGACTCATTATTTAATTAGGGTAACTGCCTGAATCCTGACACAGGGTTAAAACACTGGATCCAGTCTTGAAAATCCCTAGTCACAGTTAGATTTTCTTCCGTCTAAACCTCGGATTTCTCCGAGGGCCAGATCAGCATTGTAAATTCATTGTCAGGATTCCAGCAGTTACTCCAATTAAATCATGAGCCTCGAGCCACACTCCCAAAACTAAAAAGAATTTATTAGAAGTTAACATTCTACATCCGGCATTGCTTGAAATACGTAATTCACTGTCACCGTTGATCTTGCTTTTCCCCCCCCCCCACACTCCTCTAGGTGTATCATCCAACGAAACACGTCCATAGCCCAGAGTCATCAATCATGCTCTCCAATTAGGTTTTTGCGTGGCAGAAGCTTCAGTCATCTAATCCGTCTTCGAAGAAAATATGAACGGAATGTACTTTCGATTCCACACTGCTGCCTCCTCTTTGAAACTCCCCTCCTTTTTTTTTCTTGGCAACTCTAAAACGTGTATACAAAATGTTTTATGAGTTGACATGCAGGCCAGGAAGGGGGTGGGAGTTGGGACGGACGGTTCCTGCAGCACTCTGCCAGCTAAAATGGGGCTCGGGGGTCCACGCACAGCCCCCAGCACCCATTTTCGGCCTGGACAGTCTGCAGCATTTTGCCGGCCAAAAAGGAGGTGAGCCACACACCCCCCCCACCCCCAGCATCCCATTTGGCCGCTAGAGGCACTGTGGGCAAGTCCTTTGGTATTTCCAGGCCGGCCCCACAAGCCAAGATCTAAGCACCCTTGAGTTTGACACCCCTGGTCTAAACTGAATCCTGCTCAAATGATGAGCTTGTACAACGGGCTGTACGAACATTAATTTGGCAAACTCTGGGAGACGGGAAGACACAGGGCCCTGGTGTACTATGGGCCACGGAGTCGCAAAGAGTCAGGCATGGCTTAGAGACTCAACAACAACAACAACTGTCAGGATTCTGGCAGTTGCCCCCAATTAAATCATGAGTCTCAAGCCAAACTTCCAAAAATTCAAAAAGGATTTATTAGGAGTAAACATGCCAGCACTGCGCTGGGTATAACCGACTCTGAGGCACATCATTCACTGTCACCCTTGACCCTGGTTTTCCCTCCACCCCCCTGGGTGTATCGTAATTCATATTCTCCAATGGGACATGTCTATAGCTAAGAGTCATCAATCATGTTCTCCAGTTAGATATACGTGTGGCAGAAATTTCATTCCCCTAGCTTTTTCGGGTCCGGTTCCTAACAGATCACGGCCCCGGTGGGGTTGGGGATCCCTGGTCTAAAGCCAACCCCCCAAGTTTGAAGGCACCTTTCTCTAGGGCAGGACAGAAAAGAAAGGCCTCCGTTGATTTGATGACCCGTTTGATGGTGGGAGACCCACTGAAGCTCTGTTTCTGCCTGTTGTTTCTAGCCTTCTGTTTTCTGTCTTTGGTTTAAACCCCAAGGGCCCAGAGGATTCCTCAGGTGCTTGGTTCTCTGTGCGCTAAGCTCCTTCCTGTTCGGTTGGCACGTCCACGAGAAAGCCATTCTCCTCGCCATTCTCCCTTTGAGGTAAGAGAGCGGTCACTGCTGACCACTGTGAGGGGCGGAGGGGCGAAGGGAGCCGTTGAAACCCTACATGGCATAGGGCCAAGCTTCTCCCCATCGTATCAGCCTGTCCCACTCGTTCAGGCAGGGAAGGCATTCCGCAGGCCCTGTCAGTCAAAAGAATTTCGACTGGCAGAGTCTGGGAAGCAGGGTCTGCCCTTGCATTGTGGAACATCTTGCCCTCAGAGGTGAGGAAAGCTCCCCATTTATAATTTTATCAGTAATTTAAAATGTTTAATACTAAGTTATTCTGAGGGTAATGTTTATTGATTATATTGCACAGAGCCCCTCTCCCAAGGGGAGACAAGCAGTTCAGAAGCCTTGACGGGGAGAAAGGGAGAGAAGGAAAGGAGCGAAAGAAAAAGAAGGGGAAGGGAGAAAGAAAGAAAGAAAGAAAGAAAGAAAGAAAGAAAGAAAGAAAGAAGGGAGAGGAAGGAAAGAAGGAAAGGAAGGAAGGAAAGAAAGAAGAAAGAAAGAAAGAAAGGAAGGAAGGAAGGAAGGAAGGAAGAAAGAAAAGGGGGAAGGGAGAAAGGAAAGAAAAAAGAAAGGAAGAAAGAAAGAAAGAAGAAAAGGGAGGGAGAGGAAGGAAGGGAGAGAGGAAGGAAAGAAAGAAGGAAGGGAGAGGAAGGAAGGAACAGGGATTGGAGAGAGAAAGAAAAGAAAGGAGGGAAGGAAAGAGAAAGAAAGTTCTGATCCCAAATATCCACAAACAAATACAGCAGAAGTCTGGAATTGGGATTTCTTGTAGCTTTCCTAAGAATCCAGGCCTCCCTCTCCCTTCACTGACTGAGGAACCAGGACAGATCTCTGCTCAAACAACCACCAAACTGGACAGAACTGTGAAGCAGCTGGTGAAGAAAATTTACCTGAGGTTTTTCAGCAAGACAATCCAAAACATACCTCCAAATGGGTCCAAAAGTACAGGTAGTCCTCAACTTCCGGCCATAGTTGAGCCCCAAATTTCAGGGCTAAGCGAGACCGTTGTTCAGTGAGTTTTGCCCCAATTTACGAGCCCTGAAATTTGGGGCTCAACTATGGCCGGAAGTTGAGGACTACCTGTACTTTTCTTGCCAATGTTGTTAAGTGAATCACTGGACTTGTTAGGTTAGTAACACGGTTGTTAAGTTAAATCTGGGTTCCCCATTGACTTTGCCTATCAGAAAGTCACAAAAGGCGAATCACAAAATGGTCAGGTGATCGAAATCCGGACCCTTGGCAACTGCTTCATATTTATGACAGTCGCGGTGTCCCTGGGGTCACATAACCGCCTTTTACGACCTTGAGCAGCAAAGTCAATGGAGAAGCCAGATTCACTTACAGCCGTGCTGCTGACTTAACAACTGCAGTGATTCACTTAACAACGGTGGCAAGAAAGCTTGTAAAATGGGGAAAGATTCACTTAACAGCTGTCTCGCATTAGCAACAAAATTTTTGGCTTCAATTGTGGTTATTTGTCAAGGATTATCTGTATTTGTAGTATCAGTCAACAAGCATGGCAGCTTTGAGAGATGGCTGATAAAAGCAGAATCCTTTTTTTAAAAATATTCCTCTTTTTGTATTGTTCCATTCTCAGCTTGCTGTCTGTGGAGAGGTCAAGAGATGCTGGCAATTACCTAATACTGTCCACTACGGGGCATTTTTCCCTCTTCCCACTGCTGTTTACCACACCAGGTATATTTCATTTCTTGTGATTTGTAACCGGTTTTTAAATGATTTTGGCCTCCAGTCCCCTAATCCATTTTTTTTGCTCTTCTCTGCACTCTTTCCAGAGTCTCAACACCATTTTTTAAAATTGGGGCGACCTAAACTGGATACAATATCCCAAATGTGTTCTTACTAAAGCGCTAACAGCTTCATGTGATTTTGATTCTATCCCTCTGTCAATGCAACCTAGGACTGCCTTGGTTGCTAGTCCCAACATCAGACTGGGTCCAGATTTGCCCTACTATTAATGGTTTGGTAGTGATTGGATTAAGTCGGCATTTCCATGTGGAAGAGGATGGATGAGTGGCTAGCCTGAACAAAATCCCACAGCATGGATTTAAGCAGGGCCTCTACCATTTTGTCTGGGCCATACATGTCAATCCATGACCAATGAGTCTTAACCCAGCAGGGCATAAGCTCGACATGACACAGGATACCTCAATGGGAATACTCTTTCCCGCAATACATCTGTCATGGGGTTTGCTGCTACAAAATCTTCGTTGTTTTGTCTTTCAGAGCTGCCCATTAAAATACTGCTGATGCTCCTCTTTTCGGTGTACAGCTTCTCCTCCCTGAAGGCCCTGTTCAGGTAAGAAAGAAATAATTTTACAAATAAAGAGAAGAAAAAAAAAACCTTCCCCGTTATCACGGGATTCGGTTTTGCACGCTGTCCCATCTTAGGGCAGTTAAGCTAACAATAAAGGAGAATATTTGTAGCTCCAGGTTGAAATAAGAGGTTCTTGGTAATCTCTGGTTGTTTTCTTAACAGATGTTTCAGCACCCAGCTTGGTAACACCATCAGTGCTAGAAGGGAATGGGGTTGATGAAGAAGAAGAGGAGGAGGAGGAGGACTATGAGGCCCTCGGTGCTCTCTTAGGTTGCTTGTTTGCTTGCAGACATTTCATCACCCAACTAGGTAACAACATCAGTGCACTGGGTACGTCTGCAAGGAAGCAACCAACCTCAGAGAGCAGCAATAGGATTTGGCTGGGTCAGATGATTACATTGATCGTTCGATCTTAGGCGGCTCTACTTGAAAGTAAAACACCAACGGTGCATTGGGAGGGTTGCAAGAAGTCGGAAGTCCAGTCTACCAGCTTGCTTCCTCAGTGGCAAATCAGAATAGAATCCAGGATAACTTGAGTTGGAAGGGACCTTGGAGGTCTTCTAGTCCAAGCCCCTTCTCAAGCAGAAAACCCTATACCATCCTACACAGATTAAAAAGCACCCACACACCTGGATGCCGCTGGATCCGTTTGGCTTCACTTAAAAGATAAGGTAGCAGATAGCGGTACAGGTAGTCCTCAAATTATGACTGTAATGGAGTCTGCCCGTTAACAGTCAGAAGCTTCGAGAGAAGGTGTAATATGATCACCTCACTTGATGCCTTCCTCAGCCCCCGGTCCCCACCCATGTCCCCAATGCAGTTGTTAAGGAGAGAACGGGCCGCCTTGGGAGTTCTAGCACAAGCCCAGACACACTTGCTCTGGGCCTCCCAAGGCCTCTTTCATACCCTAAGGCACCCTGTGTTCCACTTCCTGTCCTTCAAGGGCCCTGATAAAGATTATGAATGAATAGTCTTATTCTCTTTCCCCCAAAGATTAGAATGGCCCCCAATATGATACTCTTCCGGAAGGCGCCAGCAGGCCTGGGGAACGCAGAACAGGATGGAGCCCATTTAAATGGCTCGTGTGATGTATTGTCGCCAGGGTGGAGGGTTATTATTTTATTAATGTACTGTATTATTTGATTATTCTCTTTTCTTAGTTTTCTTGTTTTATATGTGAGGTTTTACCCTGTTTTCCCGAAAATACGACCTACCCTGAAAGTATGTCTTAGCTTGAGTTTTACAAGTGTGCCCAACATATAAGCCCTATCCCCAAAATAAGCCCTAATTAAGATCCCGCCCACTCCAGCATGCACGGGTAAAAATTAAGCTAGGATAGGGATGGCGGGCGGAGCTGCCCTACAACTTACCTTTGGACGGTTGTAGCCAGGCCTCACACACCCCGACACCTGCATTGCTGGCCCATTTCTTCTGCATCCGGCAAGGCTTTCCTGAAAGCCTCTGGAGCTGGTAACAAAGCTCAGGATCGATCCAGAGCTCTGTTATCGGATTCAGAGGCCTTCAGGAAAGCCTTGCCAGCCATAGAACAATAGGTTCCTGAAGGCCTCTGACAGCGAAAAGGAGGCGGGAGGGGGGGCAATGCGCGCAAGTGAGGTTAGTCAGTGGATGACGTCCCCTGAAAATAAGACCTGGTGCCTTTTTTTTTTTTGTGGCAAAAAAATAAATAAATAAGACAGGGTCTTATTTTAGGGGAAACACTGCATATTCCTGTAAGCTGCCTTGAGATGCAATGTGCATATAGGCAGCAATATAAATTTCCTAAAACAAAGAAATGATTTTTTTTTTAAAAAGGGATTTAAAAAAGTCCTCCCTTGTCCTGTCTCCATAGGAACGAGCCTCTGCTTCACTGGCTGGAAAAGGTCTACCTCATTGGGCTGATACCCATAGAAATCACCTGTGAAATTGTGTTTCCTTTTACTTCCTGGGCTCAAAAACTGCCTTTCCTGCCTTTGTTGCTCACCTCAGTGTATTGTGCTTTCGGCCTTATTTATGCCTGGCTCAAGCTCTACATCTCGGCCTTCCTAGGACCATCGGAAGGCAAACCAAAAAAAGAGCAATGATTTGTATATCATGGGTTCCAAGCCAGCAAAGATCATTCCAGAAAGTTCACAACCGCAACATGTGCTAACATGGGACATCCTGTACCAATTCCAGAAATGGAAGTTAAAAACTCGTTTTTTTTAAAGATGTGGAGACCTGAAACGAATTGGAAAGTAATTAGGTTTTTTTATACCGGTGTGACCTGAATGCAATATTGGTTATTTCGATAATTGCGGTTGCAAGAAAAAAAAAATCAACGTTTTTGCTTATTTCAAATTATTCTGTCTCCAAAGGCCGTCGGGATGTGCTGATAACAAATACAGAGGAAACAAGAACAATTTCTTTCTCCCCAGTTTGAGATGTAATATATATATATATTCCTTATTTTGAATTATAAGGAAAAACAGATTTGCAAATTTAAGAGATGGGACCTTGCATGTATTAAAAAAAAAAAAAAAAGGACACAGGCTGAATTCCCCAACTCTGTATTACAGGATCACTGTTCTATAGAAAATGTTGCTATCATGCAGGGCAAAAAAAATGTGAATAAAGGATTCATTTTTTGTATCCGTTCCCTTGTCTGTGTGGAATTTATAATTGGAGATATATTTTACTTTATTGTCATTGCACTCGTATAACAAAATTAAATACCATCTTCAGTGACTTTTATGACTGAAAATAAACACAAACAGACATCCTTCACATTCTATACATTGAATTGAAAACCCCTGATACTGCATTCATATTGCACTATACAGTAGAATTCAACAGAGTTCAATTCAATAGCCCTGGGATAGAAGCTGTTTTTCAGCCCATTTGTCCTTGTTTTTATTATCCTGTACCATCTGCCAGATGTTAATAGTTCAAAAAAAGGGTTCCCAAGATGAGATGGATCTTTGAGGATGTTTTGAACTTTCTTAAGGCAGCAGGAGCTATAAAACTCTTCCAAAGAGGGGAGAGGGCAACCAATGATCCTCTGGGCAATGACATTAACCCTCTGGAATGCTGTCCTATTTGCCACTGTGCAATTGGCAAACCATACAGAGGTGCAGTATGTTAAAATGCTCTCTATGGTGCAGTGGTAGAAGGTCACCAGCAGTTTTTCATTTGGTTATTGTTTCCTGAGAAGCCTCAGGTAGTATAATCTCTGCTGGGCCCTTTTGACCAGGGCTGCAACGTGAGCACCCCCAGGTCAGATCCTCTTTTATGGTAACACCCAGAAACATAAAACTGGCCACTTGCTCCACTCGGTCTATTTATCCAAGTAAATCAGATTGGATTGGATTTGCAATCTTTATCCAGTTGCCTTTCTCTCACTGGGATGTTGCTGCTCTCATTCATTTCTCTGTTCGCAATCCCCACCCACCCTTTAAATACCAACCAGTTTGGCAAGCATGCAAATTTTGATCATGGCAATGCAGCAACTGTCATTAAGTGGGAGAAACCGTCATACATCCCTTTTTTCAGGGCCTTTCCGACTTTGAACAGTCACTAAATGAACGGTTGTAAGTCGAGGACTATTTTCAAACCAACACCTGCTTAGAAGGGAACCGCCCAAGGCTGTACAGAGCCCCGCCTCCCAGCCAATCAGAGCTTCGCCTCCCAGCCAATCAGAGCTTCGCCTCCCAGCCAATCCGCGGCGGGGACGGACCAGCCTCGACGTAGCCCCCGCTTCCTGCGCCAGGGTGGGAGGGAGGGAGGGAGGCCGGGGCGGCGGAACCTTCCTCCTCGGGCGTTGAGGGCGCGGGGAAGGCGTTGCAGGCAGGACCGTCCCCCGCTCCGGACCGGCCGCCATGCAGCTCCGCTTAGGCATCCCCAAAGAGGCGCATTCGCTGCCGCCGCCGCCCCTGTTCACCTTCCCGTCGGTCTGGATGGCGGGCGTCTTCTGGCTCAGCGCCCTGCTGGACAACGGCCTCAACCGCAGGCCCATCCTGCGAGCCGGTCAGTCGCCGGGCCTCCCGGTCCCTTCCCCGCCGCTCTGTCGCCCTTGGACGGGCTGCGAGGGGTCGCCGGGGCTGCTGCCCTGCCGGGATCCCCGTCTCGGACTCCGGGCCGCTGACCACCACGCGGACCTCTCCGTAGCAAAAAGGCAGAAGGGAAGAGCCCCATGCCCATAATGCACAGCCGAGGGGGAGCCAAAAAGAAGCCACCTTCCAGCTCAGGCTCGGGAGGACCCCGGTCTGGCCTCTGGGGGGGGGGTCGATGCTCCCAAGGGGGCCCTTCCTGATGGACCCAAATGGAGGGTTTGGTTATTCCTTGGATTGTCCTCTTGGGTCCCCATTTGGGGTCAAAGCAGAATTAACGCCCCCCCAACCCTCCCCCCACAACCCTGCGAGGTGGGACAGGCTGAGAGAGAGAGAGAGGGACTGGCCAAGGTCACCCAAACGACCTCTATTAATCTCTTAGACCAACCCCAATCCATTACTAATAATTTTGATTCCAGTGCTAGGAAAAGTCTCGAGTTTCCGACAAACCAGCCATCGACCGACAGGTAGAGACAAATCGTACTTACCCACCATTCAAAAGAGACAATAAAAATATTTGGAAGGAAAAGACCCAGGACACATCCTCTCCTGCTGCCCGAGGTCAGATAAATGGGGACTAGCTCCAGACAAAAAAAAACATATGTAATCAAGGAATCACAAAGGAGGAAACTGCACCCACCCCCAACACTGGCAGGAGGATTTAATTCTTTACTGGATATCTCGCCTCCCAATGTTGGGTCAAGGCCAACAAATGCCCTCCCAATCTTCCCCCCACAACATCCCTGCGAGGTGGGTCAGGCTGGGAGAGAGGAACTGGCCCAGGTGACACCAAATTGGCTCTATTAGTAATTAGTCTATTACAGAAGTGGTCGTAAACCAGTGAGCCAGGGACCACTGGTGGTCTGCAAGAAAATTTTGGTGGTGTGCAGAGAAATATCACCCCCAAAGCACCCCTTCCAAAGCAATTGATCCAGGTTGCATAGCAACACAAGGATGCGCCGCCCCCATGACCCATGGGAACACAAGGCTTGCATCGCTTCCTTTGCGAACAACACAAGGTAGTGAGGGGAGGGGGGAAAGGGCGGAGGGGGGGGGAAACTTGGCTGCACGCAAGGAAAGCAGCAAAAGTCTTCCTTTCTCTAACCCAAACTCCACCAGAAATGAGTCTGGGAGCCTTCAAGGCCTCCTGTTCCAAGAGGCTGCACCATTCTGGCTGAGTTTGCGGGAGAGGAAGGGTATGAAAACTGAATACCAGACAAGCCCTAGCAGCCTTAACGTGGGAAGATGTGCTTGGGGTGGGAGGTGATGGTCAGCCAGTATCCAGCGATGGTTTGCCAGGATACAGCTGAGGAGGGGACATTTCCACTTTGGGATCAGGAGAAGAAGAAGAAGGGAAGGAAGGAAAAAAAAATGGGGGAATAAACACATCAGATTTAGTGGCTTCAAACCAGACTGTGCTCAGCCCGTCTTCTTCACAACTTCATTTGTAGGCACCATGCTAGGGACAACCACCTGCTTGTACGCCCTTTGAAGTGCCACTTGCTGATTTTCGGGCCAAGGTGTCCCACTTGTGCTCTCTTGATCTTTTCCAGGCATCCATCGTCAAGTCCTGATGACCACGCTGGGCTTTTGCTTGGGCTACTACATCAAGAGATACTCCAATTACTACTACGCTGAGCGGGACAGGGAGCTTTTCAGTTACATAAAGCACCATCCTGAGGACTTTGTGGAAAAAGGTACTTTGGCGGGAAGCGCTTTCTAGGAGCGATGCTCAAAGGTGATGCCGCCTCAGGTTAGGGTAGGCTTTCTGGGGCAGAGGGCAGGGCCCCAGGTGTCCCTCCTGAGTTCGCCCACAGCATGGATGAGATAAAGGCCCCCCAATTATTCATCAAGAGAGTAAGTCCATACAAATGACCTGGGTGACAGGCGCAGCAAAGTAGTCAGTGTTGAGGAGGCTGGGAATTATAGTTCAGCCACAGCTGGATTGCAGTGAGTTGTCCAATGTCAGAAGTGTATGGAGTTGTGGAGGTAATTCTATCTCAGGTATCAAAATCTGGGAACTTGGGGAGGAGGTTTACGTTGTTGATAACAGTCTTGACTGTTGGCAACTACAGGGACAAATTCGTGCATATTCCCTTAGCAACAATTTTGCCCGTCTTTTGAGGACTGAGAGAAAGGGGCTGGTCCAAAGTCACCCCGTTGGCTTTCATGCCTGAGGCAGGACTAGAACTCGCTATCTCCTGACTTCCAGTCCCCTGGAAGAACCGCTGTGTCAATCTGGCTCGCAGCAATGGGCATGCTTGTCAACATTTTACTTAGAGGTGACTTTAGACCAAGGGTCTTCAAACTTGGCAGGTTTAAGACTTGTGGACTTCAACTCCCAGAATTACTGAACTAACATGATTGAAGGAGGAATTCTGAGAGTTGAAGTCCACAAGTCTTAAAGCTGTCAAGTTTGGAGACCCCTGTTTTAGACCTTCATAACAGAAAGTCTTTGTCCACTTGTCCCAAATTTGCTTTTTGAAGAGGCAGCTGGACTTTCTGGTTTTTCTTTGAAGATGTTTTGCTGGAAGAAGCTTCTTGGATGAGAAGCGAAAAGTTTTCAAAGAAAAACCACGACTTGGATGACTCTCCATAGACACTCTTTGTCCACTTGCTTGCTTAAATTCTCTTTAAGGAAGCGTAAACCAGAGATTTCTACTCAAAGGGTAAGGTAAATATATACCCACAAAGTAAACAGACAGTGCTTTTCCTTGTCCTTGGTCTGTGAATAAGCTTCACCAGCAGGACCATTTCCTGTTTTGTTAGAGCCCAGAAAGGTGGGAGAGATTCTGGAAGACTTCACCCCAACTCGCTGAAGTTCTGCCAGCAGATTCTGTGATCTTCACGGTGTTTTCTCTCCTTCCTACTCTTGAGTGTGGAAGCCCTCGGGATCAAATTGCTTATTGATAAATGTGTACTGTATCCTTTCTAATAAAAGCTCTATGAAGATCCAGTCTGCCTTTTTTTTTTTTTTTGCTCATGATGTACGCCTGGAAATGGGGGAGAAGGTGCCTGGAAGATTTGGTATAAAACTCAGAATTTGCCACTGCAGAAAATTTGAATCCATGGCCGTTCTCTCAGCCCTGTGTTGCGTTAAATGGTCATCAGTGGTCACTGATCATGATGAGCCTCTAATGGGGCATGACAGTTATGCCTTGCAGGCCTTTAGAACAGTGGTTAAACCTGTCATTGTCCCTGGACATTTGTAGTTATAATAGTTTTTGGTCTTGATTGTCATTTGTTTTAGTGTGCTTTAGTAATGTCATTCTTTTGTATTTTTGTTTACCTGTTTTATACACTGCCCAATGCCACATAGTTTGAGTGGGATGGCCAAATAAGTGGCCATTCCTAAATAAATGAAGAAATAATTATTTTTGGCAATTGCCGGGAAATGCTTCTCTTTTATAACGCCAACAAGACCTTTCAAACTTTCTATTTCTCCTGTAATTACAAAACCATGTGTGTATTTGTTGGTGCAGTGCTTCAAGCCATTTTGTAAAGAATTATTAGCAGGCATAATTGCCCATCTTACTCTTGTTGTCGAACATGCCCTGCTAAGAAGGGGCAAATCAGGTACATTGTGCAACTCAGATCATGTGCAGAGATTGCTCTCTAGAAGCTAACAAAGCTACTTTTGCCCAGGGTCCCATACTGGATGGTGCCTCCAATGTTCAGAACATTATGAAAATAGGATTCAAAATATTTTGAAAAGTCACGGGGCTTCTCTCAAAAACAAGCCGTACTGGAGTTTCCATAGAGAGAATCAAAGCAGTTAAACATTCATCTCCTTCTGTCCATCACATCATGCATATCAATAAATCTCAGTCTTCCAGATCTTTAATTTTGTATTTAAGAACTTGTTTACAAAAGAAGCTCACAAGTTTGACATGGCTAGATTAGTTGTTTTATTGCAGACAAAAATGAAGCCATAGATGACTTTTTTTCATAGTTTTGAGATTGGAAGACACACCCGGTTATTGTTTGTACCCTATTTCTGTTTTGTCTGGGAAATGTTAGTTACTGTCTTGCCACATTAGCTCCTTAAATGGTACCTCTTGCAGGTACCATATTCCTCCATTTTAAACCATCGACATTAGTTGCCACTTGCTTTACAAGTCCAATTCAAAGCGTTCACTTTGGTGTATCAAACTTTACGTGGCTTAGGTACAAATTACTTGAAGATCCAGCAGAGTCGACCTCACATTGTTAGGTCCTTGAATGGGGCACCTTTTTGTAGGTTCATGGAAAGAACCTTTGGCTTAGGAAGCATAACAGTGTATAAAGAAATAAGTGGTGAAAGGATATTAGAGCATGTACAGAGTGTAACTAACTCAACTTTTGACATCCTTTGCTGAGCTGAAGCTCCATTGTAACCTAATGTGCCAACTGAGGAGATATACCCTCCAGGCCAAGCTTAGCTAAGTAACTTGCTGTAAATTCAAAATGTGAATTCTGCCTGCTGCAAGTATCCAATATGAAGATAACAAC